TTCACCAGAGACAGAGTGGGGAGCAGAACAGGCGGATCACAGAAGTACACTGCTGAGGGGAGCAGTGGGTGGGTCAGGAGAGGTCTGCCTTGCCATGTGGATCTCCTCCTGGGCAGGCGGGGATCGAACTCATGCGGGAATCAAACTCATGCAGAAGTGGCTTAAGCTTCTTAGTGCAGTGCTTTAACCCGCTGCGCCACCAGGGAGGGCCCGGAAAGGTTTCCTCTTTAATGACCATAATAAAATGTTCCTTTAAATGAAATTTCAAAGGATCCTAAAACTCTCATCCCCATGACCAACATTTACAATGGAGAAACTTAGTTCCCAGAGAGGGGAATGGAGTTGTCAGAGCAGGTTCGACACTGGTCTGGGAGAAGCTGTTGGTCCAACACCCCTGGGCTCACCATGTCCCAGGAACAAAACATACCCGTTTTTTCCTGAGCTCCTTTGACTGAAAACCAAAGGGCAACTACCCACCAAGACCTGGATGTGGCCTTGTTCCAAACTTTTTTCCATTACACCTGACATAGAAGATAAGGTAACTGGAATAAGGAGCAGGCACTGCAGTGATTGGAGAAATCAGAAACCCCCACCCCTTTGCCAGTGAGTGTTTTGAGAGATTGAAATCTTTTTTAGCTAGGGATTAGGTGGAAAAAAATAATGAGGTATATTTATATAAATTGCCCCCCACACCTAAGTTCTATCAACAGTACAAATATCAGAGAGGAAATAGTCATTCAATAAATACCAAGCCTTCAGTTGGGTGATGTGACTACCCAAAATTAATTTGATCTTAGGCCTTGCGAATTGCTTTGCAAAGCATCTAAAAAACAAGGTGAGAGAGGTCTTTTATTTTACTTGTCCTTTCCAAAGACTTTGACTCAGCCTCTTTGAAACTTGAGGTCTCCTAACATCTTTCCATGATGTTAATCCCCATTTAATTTGCCCAGCCAACAGATAATTTTCACAGCATTTATTCTTATTGAAGTTATTTATTAATTGATAAACTGGGCCAAAGCCCCACAGATTGGGCTTTCTTTCCCCCCCTACTCCCCAGCATCTGGCCCCAGTTCTAATTTATAGTCTGTGTAGATGTGTGTAGTACATAATAAATGCTGATATGGTGAAAGGGAGGCATTTTGTATTCATTATGTTGAGATTTACTTTTCAGTGTTTTTGAAAACATATTAAAAGTTCAGGGAAGATTTTACCTACAGAAATAAGACTCAGGCATAAGACACAAAGGCTCTTTAGAATAATATACACCAGTAAAAATGTTAAATGGTGCAGCTTCTGTGGGAAACAATTTCTCAAAGGAAACTTGCTTAGAAGCTTCAGCAATGACTAGGTATCAAGTGAACATATAATTCAACAATTCCACAGAATGGAAAGTAAGAATGTGAATAGGAACCTATATACCCATGTTCACAGCAACATTATTCAAAATAGCCGAGACAGAAACAATCCAAGTGCCCATCAACAGAAAGTGGAAAAAAAGAATGTGCTAGAAACACTATAGGACATCCTCCAGCCATAAAGTGAATGATGTTCTGATATGTACATGCTACAACATAGATGAACCTTTAAAACATAATGCTATGTGATTAGCAGGCACACAAAGAAATATATGATTCCACTCACATAGACATATAAAGTCGAAAAGTGTTTAGCAAGGGCTTAGGGGGAAGGGGAATAAGAATTTATTGAATCACAGAAAGTTTCTGCAATTATGAAAAAATTGTGGAAATGCATAGTGGTGACAGTCGCACACTGTTGTGAATCTCCTTACTGCCACTGAATTGTGCACTCAAAATGGCTGTATCGTATTTGTGTTAAATTTGATTTTAGGGATTTTTTTTAAAGATTTATTTATTCATACAGAACTGGGGTACAGGCCAGAGACGTGGAGGGTGAGAGGATTCACCAGAGACAGAGTTGGGAGCAGAGCAGGCATATCGACGAAGTACACTGCTGAGGGGAGCAGCGGGCTGGTCAGGAGAGGTCTGCCACGCCATGTGGTCACCTCCGGGGCAGGCGGGGATTGAACTCATGCGGAAGTGGCTTTAGCTTCTCAGTGCTGTGCTTTAACCCGCTGCGCCACCAGGGAGGGCCCTGATTTTAGGGATATTTTATCAGAATAAAATATATATATAAGTGATGATATACCGGGCTAGTGGAGAGGGAGAAAGGTAGGTGGGACTGAGCGATTGTGGGCCCCTTTCTTATGTATGACTGATCTCAACGAATCTTCATGGATTCTCTATCAACCACCCCTTGTCATTAGAAACACCTCCCTCTATTGTCTTTCCTATTGTAGGACAAGAAAACAGTTCCAAGTGTCTGTGGTGAGCATCTTGGGCTCCAGAGATGTAAAAGTAAAAGCCAGTAGGAATATAAGCAGAGAACCCCAAGCTCACTGATACAGCTCATTTGCGGTATGCCAATTAGGAGCTAGAAATAGCTCAACATGTTTAAACAGTGAGTGGCAAGCAAAATTTAACCATAGGAGAAACCTCTTTAATTAGGCAGAACTGTCCACTGAACTAAATGTTAGTCCAGGAAAAATAATTAAAATAAATTAGGGGCTGCTTCTGCAAAATCCACATTAGCTCCTCAGGTTACCTTTGATACCCTCTGAGAATAGTCAACCACCCTTAAGACAGTTCTCTAGCCAACGAGCTGAACATTCTCCTAGGCTGGTTCTGACAGTTATGAAAATTTTGCTCCGTTGATAAAAGAATTTCATAAAGTTGCAAAATTTGTTTAGTCTTTGCCTTTAATAAAAGAAAACCTTCAGCAGTAACTTTGGATAAATTTTCATATCAATCAGTCCACGTGAAAGTGAATTATAAATGACAGTGTTATAAAAATAAGGAACATTGCTATTAATATCAGGAACCCACATAAGGGCAATAGTTAGGAATGTTTTTGGTGATGCTTTGTTATATCATCCAGAATAATTAGTTTCAAAAATACACGCACACACTCACCTCACCTTCTTACTTTCTGCTTGTTCTTTTTCCTGCATGGGACCTTTTGCTTTTACCTACCCATTTGCTTCCTAAAATGTCTCTTCATCCCAGAAAAAGGAACTCTCCTGCACTGCTGGTGGGAATGCAAACTAGTACAACCACTATGGAAAACTGTTTGGAGGTTCCTCAAACTGCTAAACATGGAGCTTCCCTACGACCCAGCAATCCCACTCCTAGGTATCTACCCAAAAGACACAAAACCACTGGATGAAAAAGATACCTGTACCCCCATGTTTATTGCTGCTTTATTTACAATTGGAAAAACATGGAAGCAGCCCAAATGCCCACAAGTAGATGACTGGATAAAAAAGATGTGGTACATATATACAATGTATGTATATTATTCAATATACATTACTCAGCAACCAAAAAAGAGAAACACATGTCTTTTGCAGCAACTTGGATGGAGCTGGAAAAGATCATGCTTAGTGAGATAAGCCAGAAAGAGAAAGAAAAATATCGGATGGTTTCACTCATAGCAGGAGTATAATGGGCCAGGCGAGAAAATAACAAAAATAATGAACAACCATATACCAGAGACATTTTGTGGGGGTGGAGTGGGGAATGGGATCAAAAATGGGGGGGGGAGGGAAATGCACGGGATTATGGTGACTTGGTGATGGGAAACCCGCGGGGATTACAATTGAGATGGAAAAAAAAATGTGCAAAATGATGTAAAAATAAACTTTTGTAATAAAAAAAAAATGTCTCTTCATCCCAATCTCTACAGTCCTCACCCTTAGTCTCCACCACTGGTCCTCCCTTCTCTCTCTCGCTCTCTTTTTTTTTTTTTTGTACTGACCTA